GCCGCCCGCTCTCAGCCACTCACCTGCACCCACCAAGCCTCTGCTCCTACCTCCTCTCATATTCGACAGTTCCTCCTCCTTCTGGAGCCTTCCTGCTCACCCGGACCTGACCTAGCCCTTCCAGAGGCTCTCACCACTATCTACATCAGTAAGCTCTCCTCCTCAGATTATCCTCCATCCTTCCCTCCATATACTCACTCTTTCCCCCTCCTCAGAATCCTCTCCTGGAGCCTTGCTGCCAGCCTGCACGTCGTCTGTTCCCGTTCCTCTCATTTAATAATAAAGAACGTTTTACTTACTTGCCGGTTTCTTGTAATGATTCTGCATGTCGTGGGTCAAGAAACTCTCACCCGCCATGACAGAATCATCCGGCCATAACGTTGACCTCATTGCAGAATCCAACCCGTCTTCTGCTCCGCTCGCTGTTTCTGAGATACTCGCACGCCATGAACACGTCATCCATGGCTTACTGGAGCAAGTCTCCGACTCCCACCGACGATTACTCCAGATGGAACCTATTTTACGCAATCTCACAACTAGCTTAACCCCCCCGGAACCTTCAGTTCAGCAGCCTCCAGTTTCTCTTCCGTCCGCACTTCCGGTTCCGCCGCCTGCTGTAAACTTCCGGATACCCAACTCTCCCCCTTCAGACATCTATTCCGGTGAGTTCGGCAAATGCCGCAGATTTCTCTTTAACTGCCAGTTAGCTTTTGAAAGATCGCCTGAAGCTTTCACATTAGACTCAGTAAAAATTTCCTATATTATCGGGCTACTCCGTGGTAAAGCTTTAGTTTGGGCTCAAGCCAGGAGCCATGACTCCAGTTTTCTGCGCGGTTCGCTCTCACAATTCCTGACAGAATTTAACCAAACGTTCGATCATTCTGAGTCCCCAGCTGAGGTAGCCAAAAGGGTGTGGAATCTCCGTCAGGGAAACCAAACTGTAGCCGATTTCGCAATAGGATTCCACACGCTGGCAGCAACTTCCTCACTTGATCGTGGTTCATTACTGGGAGTATTCACCCAGGGATTAAATGACCGTCTCCAGGATCAGTTGGCATTATGTCAGGAACCTCCCGACCTAGAAGCCCTTATAGCCCTGACCATAAGAATCGAAAGACGCCTCAAGGAGCATTCTAAGGGTTCTAGGAAGCCACATTTTTTACTGACTCAGACCAGAACTACTCAGCCACCAGTGGCATCATCTTCTGGGGATGAGCCTAAGCAGATCGGCAGAACCCAGTTAAGCCAGGAGGAGCGACAACGTCGTCTCTCCGCTAACCTTTGCCTCTATTGTGGTCAGCCGGGGCACAGAATCTCAAATTGTGGCTTACGGTTAAAAGGGCAAGCCCACCAGTAGTTCCGGGATTACTGGTGGGTGGTAATGGTGGCCCAAACTCCCGATGTATGCTATCATGTACTGTGATGTATAACCAAGGAAGTCATGTTTTAAAGGCTTTACTGGATTCTGGGTGCGAACGTAACATGCTGGACAAATCAGTCGTTCAAGATCTGGACATTCCCACTATTCCCCTTCCGACTCCTCTATGAGCATCATCCATGGATGGTAACACACTCACTACCATAACCCACCAGACCGTGCCAGTCAGCTTACTGGTGTCAGGCAACCACCAGGATAGTATTTCATTTTTTGTTTTTCCTTCTCCTCACTCCCCGGTAGTCCTTGGATATGATTGGTTACTGGCTCATCACCCACAAATAAATTGGAAAACATCCCAAGTTACTGTTTGGAGCTCCCACTGTTTAACTAATTGCCTTCGTTCCGCTTCACCCATCTGTTCAGCACCAACTTCCAGACCAACAGCCGATTCCCCAGTTCTCCCCGACCTGTCAGGAGTACCAGAGGAGTATCATGAACTCTCCCTTGTGTTATGTAAGGACCGAGACTCTTCTCTACCACCTCACCGACCTTACGACTGTGCCATCAATCTCCTGCCAGGCGCCACACTTCCATCCAGCAGGTTGTATAGCCTTTCCAAACCCGAACAGCTCAGTATGTCCACCTACATAAACGAACCCCTTGCATCCGGTATCATCAGACCATCCACTTCACCATTAGGGGCAGGGTTCTTTTTTGTCTCTAAGAAAGACGGCTCACTCAGACCATGCATTGATTAACGAGGGCTCAACCAAATTACCATAAAAAACAAATATCGGCTGTTTCTCAATTCAGGGTCTGCATCCTACGTCGGCCGGATTCGTCGGCCGGTTACGTCACAGCGCCGCGACTAGGCCTGTCCCAATTCAAAGACTCCTTCAAATGCGGTCGACGATTGCGGCCTTCTTTTCGCCTGAATGAAGGATGGGTCGGGTGTATCCTTCAATAGGTAGCATTTCCCAAGATGCCTTGCGGGCCGGCCGGCAGAAAAACTTAAAAACAATGGCGGACAGTGAAGCGGGAGCTGTCGGAGAGGATTGCGCATATAAATGTAAGTAGAAACTTGAAAACTGTTAGGTTAAGGACTTTTTGTGATACATGAACGTTATTTTAGTTAGAAATGTAACAGCAAAAGTGCTTGTATTGCGGTGTCGGCTCGTATGTTCGGCCGCTCGGTGTCGTACTTCTCCCGCTACATTTCCCCCTGATTTTAATAGAAGTTTGTATTTTAGGAACAAAAGAGAAAACCAGGGAATTTATTAAGCTTAGGGCGGAGATGGACCACATGATCACCGGAGCAAAGTATTCGGCGGCTGTGGCATGGAGGTACAATAACTTCTCATATTTTAAAAACTCGTTTGAGTTTATTTTTTCTGCGAAAACATGAAAGGAATAACCCGTTGTCCTCTTTTCTCTATATTCTCTCTTCCTGTTGTTTTTCTTACATGTTTGTTAGGACTATTCTGGAGAAAATGGGCATCCAGGGGAAGGTGCCAGCGATGACCAGCTTCTGGAGCTGATATGGGAGGACATGAGGCTGCAGAGGGCCCAGGAGAGAAGGACGAACTTTGACAGCTTTTTACTTTGCTAGAAAAAATGGTTAAGGAAGATTAAACATGTACATATAAAAGAAATATCTAAATAAAATCAGTTCTGCATTAAACTCTTGAATTTTATTTTTGTTTACAAATGAGAATTGTTTACTAGAGGGTATCCCGCTGGGTCTTGAAAAGTCTTAAAAGGTGATAAATCAGTTTTGGTCAAATTAAGACCCTTAGAAAGGATTAAAAACTATTATCACATCTTTGCTCAGGCTCAGCTTGTCTAAAGTATTTTCTCTGAATTAGCTCTCCAACAGTCAAGGAAATGATTAACCCCCAGAGACCCACGGTTGTAATATTCCAACATCAGATTTAAGTCCACAAAAATAAACCTTCCCCATTTTTTTCTTTTTAAAACCACATTTACATTGCTAATAGGTCCTATTGTTCAGTTCTGCAACACTATTGGCTGTTAAAATGTGTAAATAGGCCCGTTTATCTGGCCTCCTAGAACAACATGTGAAAGGTTAAAAAAAGATTTTGCAGTTTTCTAAATTTGGGTTTCTGGGGGTTAAAAAGCTAAATAAAACGTCGCACTCCATTGTTTAAAGTTCCTTCTCCCTTCTGCCCAGCGGTTCCACGGTTGCTAGGCGACGGAACGTTCGCCGAGGGAGTTCATGAAGGCTAGGCCTGTCCCAATTCACAGCCGTTAACATCCGGTCTACCCGGCCGACGGGAGGACCCAGCCCACGTCGGCCGGGTGGGCTGGGTCCTTCGAAGGATGCAGACCCTGAATTGAGACACAGCCATCCACTTCCGTTACTGTCATCTACATTTGAACCAGTCCAAGATGCAACCATCTTCACAAAACTGGACCTACGCAATGCTTACCATCTCGTCCGTATCAGGTAAGGCGATGAATGGAAAACCGCATTCAAAACTCCTCTGGGTCATTACGAATACTTAGTCATGCCTTTCGGCCTCACAAATGCCCCCGCAGTGTTCCAATCCCTGGTCAATTCCGTTCTTGGCAACTACCTCAACCAGTTTGTTACCGTCTATTTAGATGACATTCTGATATTTTCCAGATCCCCTGCAGAACACCGACAGCATTAGATGCGTACTTCAACGCCTCCTGGAGAACCGGCTCTATGTGAAGGCAGAAAAATGTGAGTTTCACGTCTCCTCAGTTAAGTTCCTCGGTTTCATCCTCGAGAGCGGGTGGTTGAAGACAGATCCGGAAAAGATCAAGGCTGTGTCTCAATTCAGGGTCTGCATCCTTCGAAGGACCCAGCCCACCCGGCCAACGTGGGCTGCGTCCTCCGTCAGCCGGGTAGACCGGATGTTAACGGCTGTGAATTTGGACAGGCCTAGCCTTCATGAACTCCCTCGGCGAACGTTCCGTCGCCTAGCAACCGTGGAACCGCTGGGCAGAAGGGAGAAGGAACTTTAAACGATGGAGCTCGACGTTTTATTTAGCTTTTTAACCCCCAGAGACCCAAATTTAGAAAACAACTGCAAAATCTTTTTTAACCTTTCACATGTTGTTCTAGGAGGCCAGATAAACGGGCCTATTTACACATTTTAACAGTCAATAGTGTTGCAGAACTGAACAATAGGACCTATTAGCAATGTAAATGTAGTTTTAAAAAGAAAAAAAATGGGAAAGGTTTATTCTTGTAGACTTAAATCTGATGTTGTAATGTTACAACCGTGGGTCTCTGGGGGTTAATCATTTCCTTGACTGTTGGAGAGCTAATTCAGAGAAAATACTTTAGACAAGCTGAGCCTGAGCAAAGATGTGATAATAGTTTTTAATATTTTCTAAGGGTCTTAATTTGACCAAAACCGATTTATCACCTTTTAAGACTTTAAGACCCAGTGGATACCCTGTAATATTGAACAATTCTCATTTGTAACAAAAATAAAATTCAAGAGTTTAATGCAGAACTGATTTTATTTAGATATTTCTTTTATATGTACATGTTTAATCTTTATTAACCATTTTTTTCTAGCAAAGTAAAAAGCTGTCAAAGTTCTTCCTTCTCTCCTGGGCACTCTGCTGCTCTGCCCCCCTCTGCAGCCTCATGTCCTCCCTGATCAGATCCAGAAGCTGGTCATCGCTGGCACCTTCCCCTGGATGCCCATTTTCTCCAGAATAGTCTTAACAAACATGTAAGAAAAGAAACAGGAAGAGAAAAGAGGACAACGGGTTATTCCTTTCATGTTTTCGCAGAAAAAATAAACTCAAACGAGTTTTTAAAATATGAGATGTTATTGTACCTCCATGCCACAGCCGCCAAATACTTTGCTCCGGTGATCATGTGGTCCATCTCCGTCCTAAGCTTAATAAATTCCCTGGTTTTCTCTTTTGTTCCTAAAATACAAACTTCTATTAAAATCAGGGGGAAAACGTAGCGGGAGAAGTACGACACCGAGCGGCCGAACATACGAGCCGAGACCGCAATACAAGCACTTTTACTGTTACATTTCTAACTAAAATAACGTTCATGTATCACAAAAAGTCCTTAACCTAACAGTTTTCAGTTTATACTGACATTTATATGCGCAATCCTCTCCGACAGCTCCCGCTTCACTGTCCGCCATTGTTTTTAAGGTTTTCTGCTGGCCGGCCCGCAAGGCATCTTGGGAAATGCTACCTGTTGAAGAATACACCCGACCCATCCTTCATTCAGGCGAAAAGATGGCCGCATTCGTCGACCGCATTTGAAGGAGTCTTCGAATTGGGACAGGCCTAGTCGCGGCGCTGTGACGTAACCGGCCGACGAATCCGGCCGACGTAGGATGCAGACCCTGAATTGAGACACAGCCCAAGTCAGTTCTCTCCTGGCCTACTCCCACCACACGCAAGAAGTTTCAACGCTTCCTAGGTTTTGCAAACTTTTATCGCCGCTTCATTAAAGACTACTGCCAGACTGCCGCCCCACTCACTCAGCTCACATCCATAAATAAACCCTTTATTTGGTCCTCCTCTGCTGAAGAGTCCTTCCAAGCCCTAAAAAACAAGTTCACACAAGCACCTATCCTGACCCGTCCCGACACTTCTGCCCAGTTCACCCTAGAGGTTGACGTGTCTGACTCTGGTGTTGGTGCTGTGCTGTCACAGGTTTCCCCCACAGATCACTGTCTCCACCCATGTGCTTTCTTCTCTCGCCGCCTCTCCCCAGCTGAGCAGAACTACGATGTCGGGGATTGGGAACTGTTGGCCATTAAACTGGCCCTGGAGGAGTGGCGACACTGGCTGGAGGGAGCGGAACATCCTATAATCATCTGGACCGACCATAAAAACTTGGCTTACTTAAAGGAGGCAAAAAGACTGAATCCACGACAGACCCGCTGGTCCCTGTTTTTCTCCCGTTTTCACTTTCTCATCTCTTTCAGGCCCGGTTCCAAAAACACTAAACCCGACGCCCTGTCCAGACTGTACTCACCCGACAAGGATCCCGAATCAGCTCCTATTCTGCCACCATCCTGCATTGTGGGCGCTGTAGATTGGGACATCACAAAGAGGGTGCAGGAGGCCCAGCAGACTGAACCTGATCCAGGTACTGGTCCACCACAAAAGATTTATGTCCCTGTCCGTGTTCGTGGTGACCTGATACATTGGGCCCACACTGCCAAATTCTCTATTCACCCGGGAGTAGGCCGCACGTTGGAGTTAATCCGCAGAACCTTCTGGTGGCCCTCCATGTATAAGGACGTCCGTGAGTACATCAGTGCCTGTTCCATTTGTGCCTGAAACAAAAGCAGCAATCAACCTCCAGCTGGTCTTCTCTCTCCTCTTCCTGTGCCCACTCGCCCATGGTCCCATATAGCTTTGGATTTTGTTACCGGTTTGCCCTCCTCTAACGGTTTTTAAGTCATTCTCACTATTGTAGATCGTTTCTCCAAATCCTGCCACCTGGTTCCTCTCAAGTCACTCCCATCCTCTGCCGAAACCGCCAGTCCTCTAATCAAACATGTCTTCCGTCTTCATGGGATTCCAGCAGAGATCCTGTCTGACCGTGGCCCTCAATTCCTGTCCCGTGTATGGAGGGACTTTGCCAACCACCTGGGGGCCCGTGTCGCCCTGAGCTCCGGGTTCCATCCTCAAACAAACAGGCAATGTGAGAGGATGAATCAGGAGCTCGAAGCTATGTTACGATGTGTGTGTTCATCCAACCCCTCTGGATGGAGCTCCCAAATGCCCTGGGTTGAATATGCCCACAACGCTCACACCTCCGCATCCACAGGTTTGTCTCCATTTGAAACCGTTCTAGGTTACCACCCCCCTCTATTTCCGTCCAGTCAGGACCCTCCTACCACAGCCCCCCAGTTCATTCGCCGTGCGAGGTGCACATGGGCTCAGACCACGGCGGCCCTTCAACGCACAGCTGACCGCAACCGCCGTCTGGCAGATCGCCACAGACGACCCGCTCCTGTGTATGTCCCTGGGCAGAAGGTCTGGCTTTCCACCAGGGACATCCGGCTGAGGGACACCAGCAAGAAGTTGGCTCCTCGGTTCATTGGTCCTTATCCTATCACTGAGGTCATTAGTCATTCCACTGTCCGCCTGGCCCTGCCTCCGTCCATGAGAGTCCACCCTGTATTCCACGTCTCCCTGGTGAAGCCTGTTCTTTCCAGTCCCTTGTGTCCTGCCCCCGCTCCTCCTCTGCCTGCCCGGCTCGTTGGTGGTGGCCTGGTTTATCCGGTCCGTCGACCCCTCGATGTCCGTCCCCGAGGCAGGGGCCTCCAGTACCTGGTGGACTGGGAGGGGTATGGACCGGAGGATCGTTCCTGGGTGCCTCGTTCCTTCATCACAGATCCGGATCTCATCCGTGACTTTGAGGCCTCTCGGGCTTCCTCCTCCTCTGCTCGGCTGCCAGGTGGCGTCCGTTGAGGGGGGGGGGGGGGGGGGGGGGGGGGGGTACTGTCACGGTCCGTGGTGAGCCTCCTGCATGTAATCTGCTTGTTCTGAGTATTGTTGCAGGTGGGTGTGTCTGAGAGCCACCAGCTGCAGCTGATCCCGTCATCAAGGCCCAGGGGATTTAAGGAGCAGTGTGACACTTCACCACGCCGGATGATTGCTCAGCTTTGGGTAGCTCTAGCCTCTGACCCGTTTTTTGATCCTGTGTTTTTCTAGTTCCTGTTGTTACCAGATTTTATGAGAATTATATGCTGGATTTCCTGTCAACCAGAAAAGACCCTGACTTCTCGTTCCTGCTCTGCTCCAGGTTTCACTCCACACTCCACCATCTCAACACCAGCTCGGATTCCTGCACTTCATCTCACGCTGTCTCCTTCCCTGGCCGCCCGCTCTCAGCCGCTCACCTGCACCCACCAAGCCTCTGCTCCTACCTCCTCTCATATTCGACAGTTCCTCCTCCTTCTGGAGCCTTCCTGCTCACCCGGACCTGACCTAGCCCTTCCAGAGGCTCTCACCACTATCTACATCAGTAAGCTCTCCTCCTCAGATTATCCTCCATCCTTCCCTCCATATACTCACTCTTTCTCCCTCCTCAGAATCCTCTCCTGGAGCCTTGCTGCCAGCCTGCACGTCGTCTGTTCCCGTTCCTCTCATTTAATAATAAAGAACGTTTTACTTACTTGCCGGTTTCTTGTAATGATTCTGCATGTCGTGGGTCAAGAAACTCTCACCCGCCATGACAGAGAAGCAAGCTGACCAAGAGAGTCTCTGACTTTGGGAACCAGCTTGTCTGGGGCACAGATGAGGATCTCAGTCTTATCTTCATTCAGCAGAAGAAAGCTCCTAGCCATCCAGGCTTTGATAGAGTCTAAGCAGGTGTGTAACAGCTGCAGCTTAGACATCCCATGGGACTCAAAGGAGATGTACAGTTGGATGTCATCTGCATAAAGATGGTAGGAGATCCCTTTGAAGGAGCTCAGGATGTGCTGAAGAGGGAGCAGATAGAGGAGGAAGAGCAGAGGCCCCAGCACAGAACCTTGTGGGACACCATGGGTAAGAAAGTTGGCGGAAGACCTAAACTTGGAGACGGCCACAGAAAAGGAGCGCTCAGAAAGATAAGAGGAGAACCACTCCAGAGCAGTTCCTGATAGGCCTACCCAGTCTCTCAGCCTCTCCAGTAGCAGCTGATGGTCACCAGTGTCAAAGGCTGCAGTCAGGTCCAGCAGGACCAGAACAGAACAGCCCCCTGCATCACTGTGAGTCAGAAGGTCATTAGAGACCCTAGGAAGAGCTGTTTCAGTAGAATGAGCTCTACGAAAACCTGACTGTAAGCTGTCATTGTTGTTGTGTTCAGCTCCACAGTACAAACAGGTACCGTTGTCATAGTTAAATTATAATCAGAATTTATAAATAGATGGTTGGTACAAGCTTCCATATCTGTAATTTTATAGTCTTTTTTAACGGACTTTTCTTTTAATCATTTTGACCTCTGAGTTTTGTGTTGTAAGTCCTGCTTATTAGTGAAACCTTTTTTCAAACATTCATTTTCTAAAAATGTTGTATTTTCATTTGTTTTACTTAAATTTATTTCTGAGTTTTTTTCAAACAAGGTTTTAAAATGTGCATTAGTGTTGAATGCTAAGCTTTTATTTTTTTCTTTAAAACAACTTTAAATTCTTTTAATTTGAAAACATAAAATTATTTGAATTATTTTTCTCATATTTTAGGAAATTATTTGATTGATTTTATTTATTGTAAAAATCTTATTTTCAATAACTTTTGTTCTTTTACTCTATTTTATTTTATTTTTTTATTATGCTATCCAACAACTTTTACATTAAAATAAATATGCTATTAGAATTTGCTGTGAATTATATTTACATTTTACTTCAAAACTAACCAGTTTTAACTCATATTTTCTATTTTTCAATAAAAAATTGAACTTAAAAATATGAAATCCTTCCAAGTTTTACCACAATTTCTTTCTGGTCAACTCACTTTTGTTTTTGTTTAGTTGAGAGAAATTGAACAATTATGAGATTTCAAGTCTGTTTCTGTTTTGAGATAATTATGTTTTATACTGTTTTAAACTATGTGAAGCAATTTGTGATTCTACTTCTGTGCTAGGTGCTTTATAAATAAAGTGTAGAACTATTGTGAACATTTGACTGAATTTCATTTTTTGTTGTTAAATCCTTTTATATATATATATATATATTTTAAACTATTCCTACTCAAATAAGAGATATTTTAACATTTCAGCTGTCCAGTTTTTAAAACTATGTTCAGTCATTTCAGTTTGCTACTGTTTAGGATTGTTTTCTCCAGTCTTCACCTACTTTTCGGACTTCATTATACTTGTTCATTATTTTTCCATCTAAATCTTTAAATACATTCAGCTCATTTTGACAGTTTAGCTTAGTTTCAGCTTCACTTCATCTATTCAGCAGCTTCGGCAATCCGTTTCTGAATTCAGCACATGATGCTAATTTCACAGTTCAGCCAAATGTAAAAATTAAACTGTAAAATTAGTCCTACTGAAATATTAGGTGTTTTGACATTTTAGCTGTCCAGTTGTTTAAACAATGTTCATAGATTTCAGTTTTTTGCCATTTAAGATTATTTTTCTCCATTCTTCACTTACTTTTGTGCTTTATTTGCTTGTTAGTGATTTTTGCTTCTACATCTTTCTATACATTCAGCTTATTTTGACACTTTTGCTTAGTTTCAGCTTCAGTTCAGCTGTTCAGCAGCTTCAGCTTACAGTTTCAGCTATTCAGCATTCAAACAGCATTTGTGCAAGAAATGCAAATTTTTCTAGTTGAGAGTTGGAAATCATTGACCGGTAAATTGAGAGCTTTGCTTTTGGTCTCAGCTCTCTCTTCACCCCAGCAGACTGCTCCCACGTCAATGGAGATGCAGCACCAAACCATCTATCAATCTGCATTTTTCTCTCATTCATGAACAAGACCCAGAGATACTTTGACCTCTTCCCTGACCCTGAGAAGGCGTTCTACTCTTTTCCGACTTAAGACTACAGTCTCACACCTTCTTTCTGGTGGCTTAACCGCAACCCGCTCCAGCTGACTGTGAGTTGGAGATCATGTTCTGATTAAGCAAACAGGCAAATCATCCACAACATCAAAGACTGGCTCAAATTCAACAGCCTCGTTTGTGCAAAAGCGTAATCTTCATTCATATCTTCTGGTGTTGCAGAAATATTGCTATCAAGCTTGGTGACATGAATGGCACAATATTCTCTCCATGCCAGCTGCCACGACGCATTTGAAGAGCACACTGTGGCAGCAGCTTTACCCAGTTATACTGCCATGCTGTGTAATTTGCTGGCTGTAGACTGGCTGGGAGAACCAACTCTAACATCCGCTTGGAAGAGTATAGAGCTGGTGCTGAGTTCCACAGACCAGATGAACGCCAAATTGGTCCTGCTGAATCTGAGGTTTGACTGGTGGGTTCTCTTCTCCAGCAACACTGAATAGACCTTACTAGGGAGGCTTAGGAGTGTTTCGGCAAACAAGAAGGTGTGTGGCCAGTGTCCAGAGGAAGTGGGTCATGGAGTGACTATTGTTACCGTTTTGATTTTCCTCAAATTTTGCTGACCCTCTGCCCCAAACAATTGCTTGCATTGCTTGTCGGCATGCAGCACCTCTGTTTGAAATTGAAGAAAGAAAGAAAGAAAGAAAGAAAGAAAGAAAGAAAGAAAGAAAGAAAGAAAGAAAGAAAGAAAGAAAGAAAGAAAGAAAGAAAGAAAAAGAAAATGTCATGATCGCCTTCTCTTCAGATCAGTTTGTTGTTCCCTGATCTCACTTGTTTCCCCATCAGTCATTAGTTAAGCTCACTTATCCCTGTTTTGGAATCACACCCCTCAGTGTAAGTAAGTAAATACATTGTATTTATATAGCACTTATCACAGACATGGAATCACAAAGTGTTTTAAATAGATCAAAACAAAATAAAACAAAAAGCAGCTTCAAATAAAAGGGTCTTTAGCTGTTTTTTTTAAGTGTCCAGACTATCAATACTATGTAAAGCTAAAGGAAGATCATTCCAAAGTTGGGGTCCAAAATTCTGGAAGGAGCGATCACCTCGCTTTTATATCTGGTCTTTGGAACTTCTAGAAGGTTCTGTGTGTGGATCTGAGTGCTGAGCACATCACTCCTGTTCTTAGATCTCTACACTGGTTACCAGTAAACTACAGATTAGATTTCACAGTACTCCTACTAGTTTATAAATCACTCAATGGCATGGGACCAAAATACATGTCCGATCTCATTCCTGTATACACACACCCAATAGGGCTCTGAGATGCCTTGAAAACAATCAGCTGGTAGAACAACGGGTCAGAACAAAACATGGTGAAGATGTATTTAGTCACTATGCTGCTCACATATGGACTCAGCTTCCCCATGACCTCAGATCTGCCCCAACCCTAGTGTTGTTTAAAGGAGCATGGGGCAGGAATTGTCCAAAAACAAAAAGTACATGTTCATTCTTGTGAAGCTTATGGGTGATGAAGCATTTTAAACTAAAAAGAATGATGAAACCAGTTTATCATTCCATTTTGTTAATCACGCTGTGTGCTGCAAAATGCAAAACATTCCTGATCCGAATTTCCCGCGCTGTTTTACGGATGACGTTAATTGACGCTTCAAGCGCGTTCTCGACAAGGTTCAAACCCGGAAAAACATTTGGAAGCTTGCTAGGTGGCGGTAATGCGTCTTTCACTACTAGCCACGTTAAAACCCCAAACAGAAGAGGAAGAACCCTGGAAATGGATTCTACAACTAGCAAACGACCAAGCGCAACTCAAAGCCCACTAAAGTGGCACAAAGAACAAGGTTTTATCAGCGGCATCTCGAGAGTCAAAAAGAAAATATGATAAAAGTTGGTCAGGGACCCGAATATCTATTGGTTACGCTCTGGAAGAATGGAGGCTGCTTCAACTGGATTTGGGCCTGAAAAAGGATGCGGACATGGCTCATTTTCTAGTGACCAGGTAAGTGTTGGTCTCCTTATTTCTGCTGTAGGTTTCAGTAACGAGTAGGTAAACATATCAGAGCTGTATCTGCACAATTTAAGAAAATAAAATAAAACTTATGGATTTAGATAATGCTGATTTAGGTAATCTAACAAATCTTTGTGCAGATGAACAAGAAACTTATCTAAGCTAACGGTGTTTAGCATATGGCTTTCTGATCAGTTTGAAAAAGCTAAAAGCAACCAAGGAGTAACCGGATCACTTCTACATTTTGTGGACGACGCGCCACATGTGTTTGGAGATAAATGGATGCTCCGTTTATTCTGACGAGAAAAGTAAACAGAGCTTGATTTGATTATACCGCTCAGCCGGAGAGAGCTAGCGTGTGTTAGCATGTTAGCTGCGATCACGTTTCAGTTTGTATGTACCACAGAAGAGAACGGACATTTTCCAAACCAAAAATGAGTCTTTAGAATTATGTCATATTTGATCTACAGTCCAACCTCTAAGCAGGACTGTTACTTCAGTAGATAATGTTATTCGTGGGGTTTGTGTAACAGAACCCCATCGGAATATATTTTCCTAGCGCTATTGCTGTGCTACATAAGAATAAATAATAAGTCAGCCATAACAACACGTTTGACTAAAAGTAAAGTTGTGCAGAAGTTTGTGTTTATTTTTCTAAATTTGTCCAGTTGAATGTAGGTCAGAATAAAATATGTTTGTGAAAATGATAAATAAATTTTTTATAACTGACCTTCATTTTCATATTACTAGTTGTACCACAGGTAAAGAAGCTTAGCCATTATTGATCTATGTAAACAGAAGGTGTAGAGTCTCGACCAAATTGTTGACATTTTTGTTTAAAAATGTGTTTTCCAGCTACTGGAAGAAGCAGGCTCCTGAAACTGCAATTCAGGGAGGTTATGTGCAGTCAACCTCGACACCCAGTAAGAGAACAGCAGCTAAAATGTGGCATCGATTATCTCCAACTGAACCTGTGTCTGAGGGGTTAGTATCTTTTCTGTAAAACAAATATTCACGTTTTTGTGCTATGATATTTCATTCATTAAATTACACCTTGCATATCCACACTTGGTTCAGAACTAATATCACACCACCAAACACTTCTGACATTATCTTTACAGGGAAGATTTTCTAATGGCTGGTGTTGAGGCGCTGATGACCTAGATTTGGATCCTTTTGAAGAAAGGTAAATATGTTCATGAGAAGTCTTGCCATATACGCAGAAAATTACTGCTGTACTATGTGCAAAAAAGATAAAAACACAATAGATAAGCAAATATAGGTCATTATATATATTTATTTATGTTGTAAAGTGTCAATTCACAGCAGATTGTTGTTATTTGCAGAAATAATTAATGACAGATGTATTAGGCTCCACATTTATCTCTTTAGAATCAGTACCATTTCAGGTAAGTTCCAGTATTTATCTTTACGTACAACAAATATTATTGTGTTGTCTGTAGTTTCAAATCCATGGATCTAGCTACGGATGCAGTCCAAATTGATGAGGACCAAGCAAACAACTTACTCAACAGTGTGTGAGTTGCAATGTCTTCTTATCTAGGGGTGGGCAATATAAACAATATAAGGTAGAAATGATATAAAATTGGGTAATTTTACGGCCCCCAGCTCGTCTAGGAGATGATGTTAAAGGGGGCGTAAAGAATGATATGTGAATTACCGGACAAAACCAAGATTTACTCTCTTAGGAGTTTATTAACTAAAAAACACTGCTTTATGCAGGCTAAGACAAAATGAATACAAAACCAAAAGGACGTCCCACTGGGGAATTAACAATACTAAACAGAAGGATCATCCAATACTGGGTAAATAACAATACTATTAATACACACAAAACGCCGGTACTAATCCGGGAAAGTAAAGGAATGAGACAAACACAAAAGGCTACACTAAAAGGGTGAGCTGAACTCTTTAACAAGTATTCTAATGGAGACAAAACCGAGCTCTGGCTACTAGGAAGTGTACCACACAGGTAATCAAAATGAAAACTTTAACGTCTGGTTTGCTAGGAGGGAAAAAGAGGAACACTCGCTTTAACACCAGGCCTCTGCTAAGCTTCCCTCCTCGAATGACAGAGGGAGCTGCCTTTTATAGGAAGCTCCCTGATTGAGAAGATTAGTGACACCTGGCTCAGCTAGAGCCAGGTGAACATGTAGGAGCTCTGAGGCCACCTTGTGGCCACAAAACAGACAACGTCTGTAACAGGTAATGATAGTTTTTGGCTAAATCGCAATACGGCGATATTGTGATAACACATGACGTCACTAAGATGTGCACCCTGCTGACAATGGGACAACAGAATGGCGGTGACTGCAAGCATGGAGTGGGCGGAGGAGGAGGCCTATATGCCTCAAGTGGCATATATTTGCCACATGAGGATATCTAAAAGCATGTCAATTTGACATCTATAAACAGATGAAAAAATATATCGCAATATATATCGTTACTGCACATGCTTCAGATTATATCGCAATATAGATTTGAGGCCATATTGCCCAGCCCTATTCTTATCTACACTCTTTTTTTTAAACTCCAAAGTCTTAAAACAATATATTAATTCTACTTTTATTTATTGTTTTCATAACAGAATAGAACTGTTATGAAAACTTTGTCAGGCTGACGAAGTTTGCAGCCGCAAACAAAACGTTGCAGGCAAATAAAACCCTTCTATGTTTTAAAAATAACTAAAAGTTGTTTTATCCTTGTTCACAGGCTGGGATCCTAAAGGGAATTTCCATCCTACTTGTGTGGCTGAATGACATCTTCAACCAATTTTGGTACATTTGCCAGAAAGCACAACATCGTGATATGTTTAATGTAAGTATTGTGACATCTTTTGGACAACAAGACAACAATGCACATTGACATAATTACCTTTCTTTTCATAATAGTGCCAACTCTCGTGTTTCTGTTGGTGAGCGCTTCTGTCACATGTAAAGTTTTCAAATAAAACTTATTTTTTCTGTTAGGACATGTGGGTGGGTGTGCTTCACCATGTCACAGGGAAGCATGAATGGACCCATGGCAAATGTGACCATGGACCACTTGATGCAACGACCAGTGATAAAGAGCTCATGGTACCATGATCTCCACCACACGAGGCTCTTCAACGAATCATGTTCAACAGACGCTGGTTGAAGGATGTCACCAATCTGACCTTTAGGTATATTAACAACATTTTCATAAGCAAAAAAGCTAAAGTGTCAATATCAAAGCTGACAATTTACATATAGAAATGACAATTCTGGGTGAAAAGGCAATCAAAAGTGTGATTCCTAATAATCTATAAAGTTGTAGCTTTTGTTTTTTTTACAGGTCAACTTCAGAACTGGAGAGTTTCCAGAATTGCATTCTCATGTAATCTATGTATGATCTAATGCTGCTGTTCTCTCTCCATAAAGGCCCCAGATACGTGAGGCATCAAAAGACAGGAATGACTTCTTTCATGCACACAGATTTATTAGAAATTAAGAAAAAATACTATGTACAAATGCAAATAACAGAACTTTTTTGTACATAAATAAAAATAAATATATTGCACAAACTGTTTGTTTATTTTTGGGTGAAAATGCAGTCTTCAGCTAAAGTTATTTTGAGGTATTGTGCTGTTTTGGAACTACTGTAGTTGTAGATAAACGGTTTGGATTTTTGGGTTAGGGTGCCCTCAGTCAGGAAGATGGTGTCCTGGCGTCTCTTGCCGAAACTCCAGGATATCCAGCATCACCCCTGGAAGACGGGTCACCACTCTCTCGAGAATATAATTTCTCTCCTCCTGGCTCAGTTGTTGTAAAGCTGTCTAGGAATTAAAGAGCATATGTTTACATGACTAGATTCATATCTCCAGTGAGTGATGTTTTCATTTTTGGCATCTATTATTTTATTTTATTTTTTTACACAAATGGCTACAACCAACCTGCATCTCAGCTATACTGGCAGCTCTCAGCTGTGCAAGCCGGTCTCGGTCCTCTTCTCTGAAAGCTGTTCGCTGCCTACACCAGCGCCCTGGTCCTCTTGAAGGAGCTCTGGACCTCAACCTGCTGCCCTCACCCCTTGAGCGTGTCCTTCCCCGACCCTCGGAGCGACCTTTTCCTCTCCCCTTTCCTTTAGCCCCTGGTCTTAGACTTTCCCACGACACATCAAAGTCTGTGGCAGGCTCGGGCACACTCCATCCGAACTGTCTTCCATCACTGCTTCCAATATGAATTCCTGAAAATCAATGACAGTAATGATAAAAATGACTATTACCCTGTAGGTCTTGTTGATATTATGATTTTATTTTGATGTATTTTTGAACTAAGCATTGATATTTATGTTCTTATTTACATTGTTGTGATGCCTGTCCTGTAATGAAATTGGTTTCACAAATGATGTCAGTGACTTGAAATTGGATGTTCTTACATGATGCATAAACAATAACATTAGCTTGTTAGTAAGCTTAGTGCAAAATAACTGTAACTGGTCTAAAAACATCAGAAATCACCTGCAGCCACAAAGCCTTGTGCTGATAAAGTAGCATCATGTTACTGTCTTGCTCGCCTGTCACAAAACTGTCTTATGAAAATTTCATAGGAAGGAGCGATTGCTTTACATCACGAGTGTCATGGCTAAATTAAAAAGCTAATGTCATGGAATTTTACAAATATTAGACTAAAGTAACAATGTTACTTACTTCATCGCTCTACACGGTGCCTTGTTCGAGCCGCGCTCTGGCCATACATCACTGTAAATTTTTTTTTCTAGTGAAGAGTTTGTGCGCGCTCTCGTGCCGGGCTGCAGTTACGCACAGCGCCGAGTGCGTCGCTAATGAGTTTCGTTTCTTCATCCTGCCCAATGCTCCTTTAAAACACAACTAAAACCCTAATGTACTCATCAGCCTTTAAATGAATTATTACTTATCATGCGTCATCTCCACTGTAATCTGTGCTGTAGCTGGATCTCCTCCTTTAGCTCTAAACTGTAATTCCATTTGTGTGTGTTTTAATTTGTGTTTTTCTGTTGTTTTCATATCAAATCCTGTTAATTGTAAAGCACATTGAATTGCCTCTGTGTTTGAAATGTGCTCTATAAACAAAGCTGCCTGTCCTGCCTTAACAGATCAGTAATATAGGGAGGAGCTTGAAAATGTAGAGCCCTGAAAGTTATAGTCAGGATTCTAAAAGGAACTCTTAATGGGTAACCAGTGCAGACACATTAGCATAGGAGTGATGTGCGCTCTTCTGTTTGCTCCAGGTAGGAGCCTGACACTTGATTTAGTGGTTGAATCACTTGTGCAGCAGCTCATCAGGCTCTGCAGATGGCTGTTAATCACCTACTAATCGAAATCAGGTGTGCTGAAGCAGGGTTAAAACAAAATCGTGCTGGACACCGGCCCTCAAAGCCCGGGATTGAATAGTATTGTATTCACAAGTTGCTTTCTCTGTGTTTCAATACATCAGTTTTGTAAAAAAAAAAAAAAAAAAAAAAAAAGAAATAAGTGAATTTTTTATTTATTTATTTATTGAGAACCTCATTAGCTCACACCATAGTGTGGAGCTATTCTTCCTGAGGTCTCTTTCAATTTCATTACAAATATTTTACAAAACACCCCCCCCCCCCCCCCACACACACACACACACACACACACCCAACAACAAACTCCAGGAGCTCATTATAATCATACCAGCTCAATTGCTATAATTATATACCAATAAGTTACCAAACACTTCAGGGTTCATGAAAAATCTAAATAGGTGAAGACAGAGAGTTTACAGAGAGCAATAAATAAATATATCCAAGAATCAAAAATCATATCACCTCACTTCCATAACAAACAAAAATTATAGAAGCTGTCATATCAGTCACATTTACAATTCACTGTGCAAAATTTACTGTTGTGTAAATAAAAAAAGCATTAACTTCTTTTGAAAACATCTTCTGTTGTTCTCTAATAACAAAAATCTAGGTATGGCATTCCATGCAACCATGGCTCTGTAATAAACCGCTCTTTGCCTTTGATTAGTTCTGCAGCGCGGTAGTGCGCACCTTATGTCACTTGTCTGTCTCGTCATGTAATCATGATTGTCTGAAAAAAAAAGATAATTTGTCATAAATTATTTTAGGTATTTTTGTAGTTATTATATTTCTTATAATTGTGATCAGTGAATACTTTAATCTACATTTCACTGTTAACCAGGCCAACCTATCCTGCATTATACTTACATTTGTTCTATAATTACAACCCAGAACAATTCGTGCAGCTTTATTTTGTGCCACTTGTAACTTATTTAAATTCATTTCACTTGTATTAGACCAAATACCTGATGCATAATCTAAATGAGACAGTACTAATGTTTGAACTAAAGCTTTTATCTGCAAACGAGGAATAAATTTACAACAATATTTGATTGTGCCCATACTTCTTCCAAGTTTCAGCAGGACATGATTTATGTGACTAGTCCATGACAATCTAGAATCCACAATTACCCCCAACAATCTTGCTTCTTCTACCTGCTCTATCTCTATGTTACCTAGCTTCAAATGCAGTCTAGGTGTCATCTGTAGTGTATATGTATTCCCCACTATCATGCATTTAGTTTTTTCTGCATTGATTTCTAGTTTGTTCATTCTAAACCATTGTGTAACTAAATCCAACTCCTTTTTTAAAATATCATTTAATTGGCCTTCTGTTTGTGCTGATGCAAATAATGTAGTGTCATCTGCATATATAGCCATGGTTGCATGTTTTAAAATCAAAGGTAAGTCATTAATAAAAATAGAAAACAAAAGAGGGCCCAAACAACTGCCCTGTGGCACTCCACAATCTAACTGACCCGTTTCAGAATAACTGCCATTAAAATAGAAGTTGAATTTGCGATTCGTTAAATAACTTTCTGTCCACTTAATGGTGGACGACTGAAATTTATAACGTTCTAATTTTTTTAATAAGATTTTATGATCGATCACATCAAAAGCTGCACTCAAATCTAAAAATATAGTACCAACTAACTTTTTATCATCTATTTCTTCTAACCAATGATCAGTAATCTGAGCAAGTGCAGTAGTAGTGGAGTGACCCGCCTTATATGCATGTTGATAAATTGTGTTTAATCTATTTGTTATAAAATATTCTTGTATTTGTTCATATGCTACTCTTTCCAAAAGTTTGCTTAATGCTGGTAGCAAACTTATTGGCCGACTATTTTTACCAGACAGTGGTTCTCGGCTATTTTTGATTAACGGAATTACTTTAGCCTTTTTCCATTGGGCTGGGAAAATACTTTGATTAAAACTTATGTTAATAATATGTGAAACTGGCAGTAAAATAAAATATGCCACCAATTTTAGCAATCTTATATCAATATCATCCATTCCAGGGGGTTTATCTTTACTATTTAAGATTAATTTTTTAATGTAATCCTCTGACACCTCCATAAACTTAAACTCACAGTCTTTCATTTGCATTATATTATCCTTAATTCTTTTATAAGATGTATTTTCATCTTTTCTCTCCTCCCTGGTATTATTCAATGTTTTAATTTTATTGATAAAAAACAGTTTTAAATAATCAGCTATTTCTTTTGGTTTGGTTAAAAAAAACTCCATCTGCCTCTAGAACAGTAGGTGCCTTCCTTTTTTTAACCCCCATAAGTTCATTTAATGTACCCCACACCTTTGCATTATCTAATTTAGCTTCTATGATTCTTCTATGATAATATAATTGTTTTTTGTTTTTATTCAGTTTGGTTACAATGCTCCTTATTTTGCGATATTCGCACCATGTTTCCAATTGATTTGTTTTTATTGCTTCAAATTTTAATTTGTCCCTCTGCCTCATACGTTCCTTAAGTTCTGTATCCAGCATGGAGAAGCTACATTTCTTACTGCCTGTTTCCTCATCGGTGCATGTTTATTTATCACCTTTGTTAACAAATTGTCAAAGATCTCTACAGCTTTACCCGGATCCTGCTCCTTTGTTACATCTTTCCAATCTATGTTTCTTATTTCTTCTACAAAATCACTTTCTCTAAAGTTTTTAAAGATTCTTTTATATATAAAGTGTTGACCTTTTGGCACCTTGACTTTTCTTTTAATAGCAACCAAATTATGGTCACTGCAACCAACTGGAACAGAAATTGCCTCAGAACATAATTCAGCCATATTAGTAAAAATTAAATCAATACTCGTTTTAGAGCATACACCATCATTTTTAACCTGCACTCTTGTGAAATCTTTTACAACTTATGACAAATTAAAAGTATTAGCAAATGAGATTAATTTGCTCTTTAATGAGCAATTTCTTGATTTCCAATCTATGTTTAAGTCCCCTAATAGGTAGATCTCATTTCCTGTGTCACAAACCATATCCAACATTTCACCCATTTGATGGAGATACATTATAGCAGCATCCGGCGGTCTGTAGCAACATCCAACTAAAACAGATTTCAAATGAGGAAATTGTAACTGTAACCAGAGTGCTTCCACACCTGTAATTGTGAACTATGTTCTTACCTTAACAGGAATATGATTTTGAATATAAAAAGCAACACCACCTCCATGTAAAGTTCTATCCAATCTAAAGAGACTGTACCCATTTATGTCTAATAAAGAACTATTTATTGTCAAATCCAAATGTGTTTCTGTTATTGCCATTACCTGTAAATTATACTTTTCTACAATATCTTGAATATCATCTATTTTATTCCTTAAACTACACACATTCAAATGAGCTAATTTAAACCCTCCTTTTTGCAACAACATTTTATCAGCCATTGAAGATTCGTTTAGAACTTCTTCTACCGGTATATATAATTTCTTTTTTTTTTTTATATTCGGTATATATAATTTCACACTGAGCTTCCATTATAGCCTTTATCCCAACACCAACCACATTCACACACACACACACACAGTCACAAAAATGTTTAACATTGTAATGAAAATACATTTCTGCTTCGTTCTGCCAGCTCATGACATAATCTTTCAAAAATAAATCATTATGTGGGTTCAAACAAAATTAACCATAGCGAGATCTACAATAGTGCTCTCTGTCCAATTCTTGAAACGTCATCTTCACGCCTTTTAGCTCTCATTTATTTGAAATCAATTGTCATTATTTCTTAAGTCCAGGCTCAATCACAGTTTTATAGTACATCTCAGCCTGTTTCTGTTTTGAAACTCAAACTAAACAAAAACTATTTTGTTTTTAAGTAATCGGATACTTTCAGATAATGAAATCCAAATCTACTTTGTGCAAATGATTTCATATTCTTTTAGAATGGATCAGTAGCATCACTTTGAACACACAGGAACAACTAACCTGCTCCTGTTCAGCTCCTGACCCTGTGCCCTGCCTAAGCAGCAATCTCAGTTTTTTATAGTGTTCAGCAACTTTGTCATAAATAAACAAATACTTCCAAAAACCATGTAATGCCATTTTAAAAAACACTTAATGTTCTTAAATGAATACAAAATACAAAACCTTTCATGCCCAATTTGAAGTGTGAGAAAGAGTGAGAGAGCGTTCATAATTGTGTAATATTTCTTTATTTTTATTTTTTTATTGTGTAATATTTCTAAATGGGACAATCAGCTGAAATAGTTTGCGGAAATTTGTTTAAACTAATTCACAGGAGATGCCCAGAAAGTCTGTAAGCCTGTGTTCACCATGAGTTCATGAACAAACAGCATTTAATTTGCATTTAATGACCTATTAATGCAGATACTGTAT